AAAAAAAAAGCACCCCGTTTGCTATATATCGTTTTCATTTTTTGTTTCTTTTACGGGTGAGAGGGCCTGCAGCACCTACTGGCGCGTCATGGACTGAATCGGCTGCGTTGCCATCATATAAGGGTGTTGCATCGCCATCATCTGCTGCTGAGCATAGGGATTCGCAGCGGAGGGGTACGCACCATAGCTGCCGTACCCCCCATAGCCGCCATAGCCGCCGTAGGCGCCAAACCCACCGCTCATGTTGTTGCGGGCACGCTGGTGGCCGCTGGCTGCCAATGCTACCTTTAGGCGCTTGTTGAGAATGCTGAAGCCGTTCAGCCCCGAAATAGCCTGCTGCGCACTCGCCGCGCTCTGGAACTTCACAAATCCATAACCCCGGCTCTGGCGCGTCTCGCGGTCACACACGATCTTGACGGACTCAATTGGTCCAAATCGGTCAAACAACTGGCGCAGCTGAACTTCATCAACCGTAGTGGGAATATAGTTCACCATGAGGTTACGCAACAAATCAGGTTCTGGATTCATTTGCGGCTGCTGAAGCTGTTGCTGTTGGAGCTGCTGCAGCTGCTGAGCTGTGTGGCTGTACGGGTCGTATTGTGAAACGAGAGGAACTTGTGCCATTGTAAGTCTTTTTTTTTTTTTACTGGGGTAACAAACAAAATAAACCAACTCGATATTCTCGGCAATATACGATGTATCTATTTATCCACGCACACAGACACAGAGAGAGAGAGAGAGAGAAAAAAAAAGGAAAGGGTACAAGGAGAGGAACATAATTCAATTCACGAAGAAACATGCGCAGGCAAAACAGACGGCGCCCCACGCATCAACAAGAGAAGAGCTAGTCGGGGAGGGAAAACAGGACGGAGCAACGATCGTGTCTCTTCTGTACGTCTCGACGTAAAAAAAAATCCTCTTGTGCGGGGGCCATGCCTTTTTTTCCCCCGTCATCGGCGGTGACGGACGCTCGCGTGTGTGTCTGTGGATGCGTGGTCATGCACCTGTGAGAAGTTTTCATTTCTCCGCTGTCGTCACTCATCATTGGCCTTTTGCCTTTACTCCCGTGTGTGCGTGCACCTCTCTCTCTCTCTCTCTTTTTTTCTCACCCTTTCCTTCTCTTTCTTTACCTTTCACTCTGCACGCAACTTCTAAATTGTTTGTCTTCGTTGTTTGTTTGTTTTTTGTTTTTCTTCTTAGCGTAAAGTAACGTCGTTGCTTGGGCTTTGCTAGAGAGACACGCACCCCCCGCAGTAATGCACCGCTCATCGGCAAAGGG